TATTGGAAGACTCCCATTGGAGCCAGTTCTGGGACATGACATCATCCTAAAAACTCCAATATTTCCCCAGAAACGTGAAGCATGTAGAGAGAAAACAAAGTATTCTGAACAAGCTTATAGCAAGTCATCATACAGGAGCTCCGAGTAGGGCGGGATGGAGACCGCGGCTGGTTGAAGTCAAAGAGCTGTCACGTGCTGGAAGCAGTTTCCGAATCCAGGACATTTTTAAGCACTTCCCCTTCCGAGAGGATCCCAACTTCTCAACAGTAAAGCCTGACATAAATAGCAACTTAGATCAACCAATGTCAGCGGTTTTTTCAGGCTTCCCCTTTCATCGGGCAGAGCAAAAAAAAATCCCTATTTTGGCCCCAACTGGATTTGATTTGGGGCATTTTTGCGTTTGTCAGCACTTTCTCCTGTTTTTTTCAGTGTCTGGCAGGAAAAGCTCTAACATATTCCTCCATGCAAATTAATGCCAATTGGTGACATCAGCTGAGCAGTTTCAGCCCATCCTGCCTGCCCTGAGCACTGCCTGCCCACGGCTGGGGCCAGGGCAAGCCTCGAGCTGGGCTCCAGCCTCAGCACAGGGACATGCAGCCCTCAATCCGCCCAGAGACGAGGAGGGAAACCTCCCTTTGGACCATCCAGCACCCTTCTGCATTGACCTAATACTCCCTGCAGGTGTAAGCGGCATTCCAGTCTACTCTGATGGCTCTTCCATGACCACCTCCCCACCTCAAAGCATCTCGTACATTAGATGTCCTTCAAGACACCCATTCCCTTCACCTTCCCCCACAGAGAAGTCCCTTCTTTATAGAAAGGGGAAGAACCAGAAAAAAAAAAGAAAGAAAAAAAAAAAAAAGAAAAAAAAAAAAAAAAGAAATTAGAGTCATTATGAGTAGATTTAGGGGAAAGGGCAAGGAAATATTTTTAGGCACAGATTGCAATGCCTCAGGGTGCTGTTACTATGACCATAGCTTTCCATCTGTTTGAAGATTGCAAAGATCTGGGAAGGTGAAAGCATTTGTCAGAGCTCTGTGGAAATGATATAACTCTGGATCACCAGCACTCTATGTTTTTGGCACTCTGCAGCAATAAAGTCTCAGTCTTAACCTGAACCAAATAATACAGATACAGAAACAGGTCCTAAACTAGGCTAATCCCATCCTAAAATAATTCAGCCAAATGAGAGGTTTCTTTTTTTTTAATTAATTAAAAAAACAAAGCAGTCCAAAATATTTTGTCATCTATTTTACAGCAAAGTTAGAAATGCTTGGAATGCTTGGAGGCTTTCAGATGTCTGAAATAGATTTTTTTTCTTGAAAACATTTTTAAAAGCTGTGTAGTTTTCCAAACAGTTCTTCTGCTTCAATGAAATCTCTATTTTTCACCAGAACATTTTTGCACCACACACAGCATTTTCCCTGCCTCCCCTACACTCATTAAGTGCCTTGGGAGCAGGACAGGACCAGCTGACCGTAGCTGGCAAATCCCCGTGTCTGAAAGGTTCAGTCACAGAGGAATCGCGCTCTTATGTACGTCTGCAAGTTCTATTCCCCGAGCAAACAGACGGAAGAGCAAAGCAAGGTGAGGCAGCCAAAGAGATCATTTCTTGTCCAGCTGTTGCTCATGTCCCAACACTCAATGTTGACTTGCACATCCCACCTCCCTGGCGCGGGGTGGGGCAGACCTTCCTAGCGCTATCCAAGAGTGCGAGGGCTGCCGGGTGCATGGAGCAGTGCGGTCTGGACTCACGGGTGAGCCTGTGTGGGCACCACTCCGTGTTCCACCATCCCAGAAGGATTGCAAAGGGAAGGGAGCGGCATCATCTTGGCCATGACCTTGCAGGAAGGAGCTGATGCTCAGCTTGGCCACAGCTATATTTACTACATTGGTTTCTAGCCAATTTGTTTGATGTGTCCTTCCCGCAGCCAGGGTGAGGGCCAGGCGCACGGCCCAGGGTCTCCACACGTGTACCCCCTTAGTGGAGCATCTTGAGCAAGGGTGATCTTTGGGACCTCTTCTAAGCCACCTTCCTCCTGTGCAAGTGCGGGACCCTGCAGTCCCACGGCTGCTGAGGCTCTGCCCTCTCTGTCTCCACTCCTGTGCTCTGMGGCTGGGACAGGGGCTCTGCAGACCATGTGGCGTCGGAGCGAGATTCGGAAAATACCCTGTCATTTACGGAACTCGCCCTATGTCAATAGCCAGAAGCCTTTTGTAGGAACACTTGTTGTGAGTCAGCATCCAGCTCTGTGGTCAGGGTGTAAGCGATGGTCGAGCAGCTGGGATGCTCTGTTTTACTCTATACTCMTTCTGCAGACCTTCATGCAGTGTCTAGAAAGATAACATTTAGTAGAATACTATGAAATGGAAAAATCTCAAAAACCCAGAAAAAGGCCCCAAGGACACAGACCTGGAAAGAACCCCAGGACATCTAGGCCTGACTTCTTCATCCAAGCAAAATTATAAAAACTGTTTTTCTATTGTGTTAATCTCCATCCCAGAACTTCTCTGTTCTGTTGGTTGCAAACTTGCAGATTCCCAGCCTAAGTTCCCCTGTAGAAGGCTTAATCTAACTTGCTCTTGTGCCAAGCACAGCTTTCACAGCTCTTCTGTTCCTCCCACAATTTCTCCTCAGTGTATTTATAGATTAAGTTGTACACTCTCACAGCCTGGTATTACTGGTTTGAGTAAGCCAAGTCCCTTCTCCTAAGGCAGGTCAGCCTTTCTGTGCCATCACTCACACCTCATCCCACCTGAGGTGCTTGGTCTCGGTGTCAACTGCCTCAGTGTTTTGGGCAAACTCAACTCAGCTATCCTGGGGACTTCTCAGAGCCTTTCTCCTACTGTGATTGTGCCAGTTGATATACCCTGTTTTTGGTGTTCTCCTCAGGTATTCCCCAAATACCTAATTATAAGCTATTTTTATCTGCTTTCTATTTAATTCTCTTGCAATTGTCTTGCGATGGCTTGGTCCAAAGTGACCTATGMTCCAAGCCAGCTGAGAACAGTTCTTCAGTAGTGTCCTCATCAAACCAAGCCTAACAGCAGCTTTCCTGCTGGCTCAGGCAATGTCTGAAGAAAGCTGACAGGCTGTCACACCTGTCCTTAGTGCTWCGCACCAATAAGGGCATTTGCTCCCCAGTCAGTATGTGGGCTGGGCTGGGTTCTGGTGCTGACATAGCTCCTGGCATCATATTGCCTTCATCCAAGACATCCATCTCCACTTCCACCCAGACCTGAAAGCTGTCAAACAGTTCCAGCTGCCTCAGGTGCTCTTTTGGTATGTTATCCCAATGGGATGCTGATGTGCATTGGTTCTACTTTAGACACAACTCCCACTTCATGTTCAGTACTATCTTGACATCTCTACCTGTGCTCCTATTGCTCATCTGCTTCAGCTTCGTATGTCCCAGCATATAGCAAGATGTAAGTTCCCCACCCCATCTCTAACTCCACATCTTGTGTCTTGTGCCAGGGACCTTGCTTGCTCCATTTGGTGATCGGCTTCTTTGCATCAGTGTAAAAACACCTTTTTTCCTGATGATATTCAGCTCRTACCTAAGAGGCAGTATTTCTCACCTGACCTGTCACTCACATCAGTCTTTGTTCTTACCTTTTCCATTTTGGTTTTCTTTTTCCTGATGATATTCTTTTCTCTGATACCCTTTATCCTCTTGTGCAGAGGCTACATCCCTCTTTTCCTGATCTGAAAGCACCTATCCATGATGAAGTCTCAGTCACAGGAAGCCAGTGGGCCAACTGGTGACCACTCAGTTGAGAAGAGATGTCTTTCTAGGAGCATCTTGTAATGGTGGGACAGTGTCCAGCATTCCCCAGAGCACCCATCCTCAAGCTGCCTCATCACTTTTGTTCTTTGCCATGACTTAAGTTTCCTGGCAATAGAGGGGAGTCTGATAGACCTCTGTGGCAGTCCATGCACAGACCGGTGATTTTGTCCTGGTGAGATGTTGCCAGTACCAGCACCTATCCAGTCCTCACAAAGCTCTGACTTCTGGCCTTCACCTGTATACATCTCTATTCCTCTTTATTCATAGTCATTACATTTTCTTCTCTTCTGTTGAGACTGGAGGCTCTTTTCTTCCTTGTCATCCCAGCTTCTGCCTGTGACGTCTCCTTGCTCCTCAGTTCAATTAACCTGCTCCTGTTCTTCAAAACTGGGCTATTCTTTCTCACTCTGCTCCTGGACCCCTTCTGCCTCATCTTCAGGGTCACAATCTACTGCAATTTCCCCCCACTTTTTAGTTCTCTTCACCTCCATACCCAGCAATGATAGATCTTATCTCATCTAAGTAGTAGATATTGAAAATGAAGCGTCTGATCTAAATTAGTCATTTATGGCTCCCTTATAGGACCTAGAGTGAGGTAAGCATGTCATCCAGCTTAACTCCCCATTTTGACTCTCCTAAACTGAGAAGTTCTTCAGTGTGGGTCCCTGGTCTCCTGCCCAACACATTTCACAAGACACACACTGAGTCTCCTCGTTACATGTGCAGCACATGGCTGTCATGGAGCACATGGTGATGGCTCCTGCCCTATGCTGACTGAGCAGCGTGAGCTGTGCAGATGTCCTGGGTAGCAGGGGCCTCTTTCTCACTAAGCCATGCTCATCCATGCTATGCTATTCAGACTGCTTACACAGCTCTGCACTTGGAAGGACACWCTCTTGTCTCCAAGACGCTTTTTGCAGGTTGGGTAATTAGGGCCTGTTGACAAACACAGGAACCTCCACAGGGGAACTTCTTACTAAGGGACATTTATGAAAGAAGCAGAAATAGATACTACTTGTTTCATATCCTGTGTTAGTGGGGAGACATTGAACCAAGGGGAGAGCTTCACACTTCCGGAGATGGTGTTACTGCTTCGCTCCATCACGAGATTTCACCATTAGAACTGCCCTGATCTCTGGGGGAAATTCCACTGCACCTACGCAAGCCACTGCCTGGCTCTCCTCACCCCATAAATTGGACGGTCACAGAATGTCTCGGCACTGGCCAGAAAAGAGGCTTGCAAGCTCCTCTGCCCTGCTCCTGCTCCTGCCACCGCTTCACAGCCAACATGAAGATGTCTGCAGCTGTTCTTGCTGCTCTCATTGCAGTCTTCTGCTATCAAACATCTGCTGCTCCAGGTAAGCTTGGGTTCTTCTCTATGTCTCTGAATGGTTGTGCTGGGGAAAGGGGAGACTGTACAGCTGGGTATGGGTCCTTTCTGCCAGCCCATCCACCCTTGAGTCCTTTTCCATGCCAGGTCACATTCTAGCAGGTGCTCCAAGGTCTTGGGTGTGGGGAACCTCCTGCCATGGGAAACCCAGCTCAGGGAGAAAATAAAAGAGAAGGAATCAAAGATATCACCTTTTCTATTCTTCTATGTCCCCTCTCTTGCCCATAATTGTAGGGAGCAAGGTCCCAGACTCCTGCTCAAGCCCCTTGCCCCTCGCTGACGCTCATGACTGTCTCTGTCCCTTGCAGTCGGCGCTGACACACCAACCTCCTGCTGCTTCACCTACGTCTCCCGGCAGCTGCCGCGCAGCTTCGTGGCCGACTACTACGAGACCAACAGCATGTGCTCCAAGCCGGCCGTCGTGTAAGTGTCCTCTCCAGCAGCCGCAGCAAGGTGCTGGGCTCTCCCTTTGGACCAGTGATATTGCCCTGGGTTTTGCGAAGGTGGAGATGGAAAAAAATTACTCTCAATAGACATCTGAGATCCCAGTGGGAGAAAAGGGGCTGGGGAGGGAGAACCGGACTGGGAAGCAGCTCAGGTGGATTGGAGAAAGGTGGCCTAAGAGGTATGAGGTGCTGCTCCACAGCTGCAGCAGATACTGAGGCTCACATCAGCCCTGCCCCAGGGCCTGAGTTTTGCAGACTGACTGGTGGCTACTGGAACGAAAGGCAAAGTTGAGTCCCAAGCCCCAAATCCGACTGGTCTTGTGGGAGGCCAGGCCCAGGGCACGGCTTTCCTGCACGCAGCAATCACCCATAGTGGATTTCCTCCTTTGCGCTCCACAGGTTCATCACAAGGAAAGGCCGTGAGGTCTGCGCCAACCCCGAGAGCCAATGGGTCCAGGAGTACGTGAACGACCTGGAGCTGAACTGAAGCAGGGGGACCGTGCGGGCCGAGGGTGCCACGTCCATGCTGCCGCCGCCACAAGCAAGCTACTGCCAGCCAAGAACTCACGCAGAAATGCTTCAGGATCACTGAAAAACAGCTAAGAAACTGAAAATGGCCAAAGCACGATTATAATATTTTTCTATAATATTTTTCTATGTATATTTTAATGTGAGAGGAAAGGTCAAATACCTTCTAGACAAATAGAAAGAATATTTAATTTTTTAATATATTTAAATGAAGTCTCTTGTTTAATTTATATGTTTTATATTTAAGTAATTGTACTTTTGATGTAGTATTTAATTCATATTTTGAGAAATAAATATTTTTTTAAAAAAATCCATCTTTGCCTCCGTTACAATTATTCGCGATGAAAATACATGAAACTATAGTGGTGGTAACATGCTCTTACTCCCTTTTCTAACGTGACAAAAAGAAGAAGTTTTTTTCCCATTTGAGCTTGCTGTTACACTGAATCAGCAAAGGAAAATCTGGAAGGAAAGAGAAGTAACAAGGTCAGAGATTACATGACATGATTTAGATTCCTCTTTTGATGAAATATTTAATCACTTTTCATTATGATTGTTGGGAACTAGATATTTCCCATTTTAAGCCCTATTATAGTCAATTAAAATGCTATCTTTAGGGGCTAAAATTCTTGCTGATTCAGGCTGAGTTTGCAACTAAACTGCCACTAAACTGGCTCAACTGTAACTGCAACTAAACTGCAACTAAAATGGATCAGCTATGCTCAGAACTAAGAACCAAAAAATAGGTTTCACTATCAGATTTTTAGAAATATTTTGAAATCTGGCAGCAGCCTCTGAGATCTGAAAGCAGATGTATGCTCGTGGAAGAAGCCTCCTTGGTGACTTCACAACTACTGTATTTTGCAAAGGTGGAAGGAATGCAAGGAGCTGAGGCCGGAGCACACAGGCAAGATGGGGACCGTGTGTGGTACCCACACCTTCATCAGCATGAATCTGCATACAGGATATATGGAGGAGGAGATATATGGGCCATGAATTGATTCAGTTATTCAAGGTTGGCCTTGCTACCAGAAGCTGAGAGAAGTGGGAATGTCCATATATTGTGTGTCCTGGGGTTGGAGGAGATGGAGGAACCACAACGTGCACCAGCCCTTGGATGAGGGGCCAGTGCTCCATGCATGGGTCCGGAGGCAAACCACAAAGCTCTTCCAGAAGGAGGGAACAGCTCATGGAGCCATCAGGGAGCACCCGTCAGAAYGGGGGTAGCTCAGTCCAAGATCCAGAGCACAGTAACCAAGCTCGGGCACAGCAGGTCGAACAAAGAGAGGAGACACTGACCAAGCAAGAAGGTGTTTTGTAAGTGCAACAAGGTTTCCCGGATCCAGACGGGCCGAGAAAAGACCGGCAATCTCAAATGTTTCAAAATTTGTAACTCGCTAAAAAGGAGACTCATTCTGAAACCAGACTTCAGTATTTACTAAATAGCTTGTGTAACAGGGCATATTTTGAGAGACCTTTCGACTTCTGATGCAGAGGTTTTTTATTGCCATTCAGAATGTACAGAACATCACTTTTTTCTAGGAAAGTTTAGTCACATTATTTGATGGAAAGTATTATGTATTGCTAAAAGTAAATATTTTTAATGAAAACCGTGTGTTTGCCTTACTGCGAACAAAAATAAGATCACTATTCTTACCATATGAATAAATTAATTATTATAATATATAGGTAAATATTTATAAATGTGTTGCTTATATTACCCTACTGTGTCCATAGGCATTTTGAGGGACAGTGACATCCAGGGAAGATGGAGATCCAACGTAGATATGAACAGGAAACCACAGAGAGCAGTTGTTGTGGAACAGATAGCACAATTTGTACACCTTCCCATTTTAGAAATGCAATAAGATTCCCAGAAGATAAAACGCCTGTCTGCTCAGAAAAACTATGTCTTGAGATCACATATCTTGTGACACTTGGTATTTGATTTGAAGCCTCATCTTCTGGAATCAAGGGGTTGCAGGAGACACATCACAGGAAAAGGGAAGAGAAGAGGAAAAAAAGGAATGCTGTAGCCCTCACAGACAGAAAACCCATGTGCTGAGATATTGGAAGAAAAAGAATAAAAACTCTGGGTATTTTCTGAGCATGCTTACTCTAACTTTTAAGACACTATAGACAAAATTAGATCATGGTTTTTCAGTTCCACAGAGGTAATTTGGATAGTTTTTCGAGTTGCACATATAAAAGCAGTGTTTTCCAAAGGTAGGGACATATCTCAGACTTCCAAGACTGGAGAAAAAGCTGAATTATTTACTATAGAGAGAACATGGGGAAAATTCAAGGAAAGGTATCTGCTTATTACTTTTCCAGTAGTGGCTAACAGAAAGGAGAAGTGACATTTTGGATATGAAAGAACATTTCTTATTTCTTATGAAAGAACATTTTCTTAGAAAGAAATGGACATCTCACACATCGAAGATGATGAAGTATTTCCCACTATATTAGCAGTGAAACAAGGATGTTAGCATTTTTGGAGAAAACACATTTCTAAAACTTCAGATCTAGAAGCTCGGCTGCCAAGAATCCTAACAGAGGACACTATCAGCGCCCTTGGGTGGTCAACTCCTACAGAAGTCAATGCCTAMAACTACAGCTAGACCACAGGCTGCACAGAAAACACTTCCCACATAACCTGGTTGCAAACCACAACCTTTCTGCCAGCTGTGCTCTCCTGAGACGCCGATGTCCTTGGGTGAAAAGTGCATGACTCAAACAGGAGAACAACCCTGAGACCTGCAAGAGCAAAAGACAGACTCAGACCAAGAAGTTCTCGCAAAATATATGGCATGTTGATAAACCCATTCTCCTGCTTGGGAAAAATACAATGTGCTTTGGCAAAGCATCACTGAGATCACCCAAAAGAAACTGTAAGAACACTAGCAGCTTGGAAAATCCGATCAGCCCCTTTAATAATATAAATAGCCTTACCACCACCTAAGAGGCTAACCTGCTTGCTTAAGGCCTGAGCTGATGAGAGTGGGAGCAGTCATTACTGAGACACCAAGGGCATGACTCCACATCCTGGCCTCTGTGCATGTACCAAACTTGAACTGAAAACCAGCTTGCAAGTAGCTTTGGGAGCTGCTTCAGCATTAAGACACCAGGAGCTCTAAAAGTCTGGTCCTAGTGCTCTTCATCTTTCTCTAACCCTCCCATGCCAGGCAGTCTGGACACCTGAGAACAGATGGGTTTCTGGTCAGAGCAGTTTTAAGTCTTAATTGCAAGTGATGAGACAAGTCCTTCAACCAGAAAATTTCATAGCATTCTCCCAGCTATCTCATTCCTTGGACCTCTACCCTCCTTCCTACAGAATGCAGATTCATGGTTTCTAGGAACACTTTGGGTGCTGCTAAGAGATGAGTCCACATCCTTTCTGTTCAGCTACTCACTTGTTCCACCAGTTGCACCAGTGTCAATGTGCAAGATCTCTGAACTGATGAACTTCCTCTCCTGACGCCTCTGAAAAAAAAAAGTTCTTTGTCCCTGTTGCACTGCAGCAGTGCCGCTCCCTTGCCATCTTTCCACAGTCCATTTATTCTGACTTTATTGACAATTTCCATTTACCACACAGAATCATAGAATCCTTAAGGTTGGAAGGGACCTCAGAAATCGTCTAGTCCAACCCCCCTGCACACACAGGGTCACCAAGAGCACATGGCACAGGCTGCATCCAAGCAGGTTTTAAAGATCTCCAGAGAAGGAGACTCCTCAACCTCTCTTGGCAGCCTGTGCCAGGGTTCTGTCACTCGCACTGTCAAGAAATTTTTCCTAAAGTTCCTGTGGAACTTTTGGTGCTTTAGTTTGTGGCAGTTTCCTCTAGTTCTATCACTGTCCACCACTGAAAAGAGGCCRCCCCCTCCTCCTCACTGCCTCCCTTGAGGTATTTATAGGCACTGATAGATCCCTCCTCAGMCTACTCTTCTCCAGGCTGGACAGGCCCAGCTCCCTCAGCCTTTGCTCATAGGGYAGATGTTCCAGGACCCTGATCATCCTCATAGCCCTGCGCTGGACTCTCTCCAGCAGCTCCACAAAGCTCTCCAGCAGCTCCGTCCTCCCACGAYGATTCAAGGACACTCAGCCTGGTCCCTTTCCAGCAGTTACCCTGTTTATTTGGTTTATTTGGTTTCCCTGGCTGCCCTTACCACTCCCCACACGACAGCTTATGCTTGCAGACTTCTATCAAGCCCTCAAAATTCAGATTCATTCCTATCTGCTTTCTCAAGATGCATAAATTCATGGTCATGTCCCACTTTATTCAAATTGAATTAGTCATTGGAYTGAGCAGGTTGACATTTTTGTCTGGGAACAAATTTATAATTATTTTTGTTTGGGAATATTATTTTTTCCTCTCAGACCGCAATACTTGCAGGTATAGGCTCACTGTAGTGTCCCACTGATTCCTAGATGCCTGGGATGCCTACAGGACTCTGCCTGGGCAGGAGAGGGCCCATATCCAGCAGTATCTGTGCATATCACGATTGGACCCATTCCCAAGTGGCTGTCCTCAGTTTTGTCCATTCCAGGACACAGGGCACCATGGGCCTCTTGGCAGGCCAGGTGCTCCTGAGGAGGCTCCAAAGCTGCACTCTCTGGGAACACGTTCAGCTAAGGAGCAAGTCATAGTCACTAACAGTGGGGAGGCCGGTGCTCAGCAGCTCCACATCCCTCTTGTACAGGGGAGCCCAGAACTGGACACAGGACTCCAGAGGTGGCCTCACCTGGGCTGTGTAGAGGGCAACAATCACCTCCCTTCACCTGCTGGAGATACTCTTCTTAATGCACCCCAGGATCCCATTGCTCTTCTTGGCCACTAGGGCACTGCTGCCTCATGGTCAACTTGTTGTCCAAAACGTATTCCTAACTCCACAGGTTTTCCCAGATCAGTTCTTTATTGCCTTCTTTCAGTACAATTCACACCAAAATCAGCACTACAGT